AGAGAGAGAGAGAGAGAGCAGGAGCAAAATTTAGTACTCCGGATTTAATCCCCAGCAAGAACTGGAAATTGATTTTTACCCTCTGGGTCCTGCTGTCTAGAGGTAACTATTATCAGCAATACCAATGAATATTTTTTTTTCCAGATCTTTAGGTCTACCCACATAAACATCTGACTTACATCATATTTTTTTCTTAAAAAAAAAAATAACCTTTCTTTGGTAAAGTACTATTTTGGAGATGTTTTTCATAGTGGCACATCTAGATCCAGAGTCTTTCTAACAGTTGAGTGGTCTGCCTGATACAGATGGACTATAATAATTTTAACTAGTTCCGTAGGCATTTATATTCTCACGTCTTACACTTCTGTGAACTTTTCTCGTTTTCTTTTTTGAGACAGGGTCTCCCTCTGTAATTCAGGCTGGCCTCAAATTCATAGCAGTCTTCCTGCCTCAGCTTCCTAACTACTGGGATTACAGGCATCTACCACAACCAGCTCTATAAACATTTTTGCAATTAACATCTTTCTCCAGTTGTATTTTTGCACAATCTCAAATATATCTGCTCTGTGAGATTAAAAAAGCAGACCAGCTGTGTCAAAGTGCATGTGAATTTTTATTTTATTTTTGTACATACTGCCAAGTTGACTTCCAGAGAGCTTGTACCAGTTCACACTCCAATGCCAGCGTGTAGGAGTGCCTCGTTTCCTGTGCCGAGCTCTTTGGCATTCTGAAATATAAAAGTTGGCCCTCAAGTGGTGTTTTAATTTGTAATTCTTATGATTAAGATTGGGCATCAAGAATCATCACATCCAGGGAATGGGGAGATAGCTCAGTAGAATAAGCGCTTGCCAAGGGCCTGAGTTCAGTCCCCGGTTCTGCCAAAAAAAAAAAAAAAAATTCATCACACCCAATTCTTGAAAACCCTTTAGTTAGACATAAACACCTTTTCTTCAGCAAATGCAATGAGGTCAGAGCTTTGGCTCTCCAAGAATTTCATTGTTCCTCATAACTTCCTTATCACAACTATCATCTCTGAAGCACCTATTGAGCCACGGCTGCCAAGCAGAGAAGCAGTTTTTACCATGAGTCACACATATTTCTGCATTGAAAATTTTCAGATTCTTTTAAAACAGTGTCTTGAGAATGTACCTGGGTCAGATTCTTACTTGACGAAGCTGAACGCAGTGGCATTGGTGGTCTGCCGCAGGGGAGAAAGGTCTGCCAGCAGTAGGTTCTGAGGTGCTGGCTGCTGTGCTGTCTCAGTGCAGAAGGGGGTTTGTGTACAAACATGCATTTATCTTCCTCTGTTTTGTAAAAGGTGTACTCAGCTAAACACAAAAGTGGCCAAACTCACCACAGAGCTCCAGGAGGAGCAGGAAATGAACAAATGCTTACGGGCCAACCAGGTTCTTCTGCAGAACAAGCTAAAGGAAGAGGAGAGGTTGTTGAAGGAGACCTGTGACCAGAAAGACCTGCAGATCACTGAGATCCAGGAGCAGCTGCGTGACGTCATGTTCTACCTAGAGGCACAGCAGCAGATCAGCCACCTGCCTGCTGGAGCACGGCAGGAAATCCAAGAGGGACAAATCAACATCCCCATGGCCTCAGCCTCCAGCCCCTCACCTTCGGGGGGCAGTGGGAAAGTGCCGTCCAGGAAGGGCCGCAGCAAGAGGGGCAAGTGACCTCTAGAGAAACAGCCTCAGAGACTGTCCTGGCATTGCAAGGGTGTGCCAGGATCTTCAGCAGAGTGGGAGGCCAAGCCCTAATAAGTACGAGGGAGGGTCAAGCCACAGAGTTTGGCTCTTTCCTTTGCTAGCATGTGGTGTAGGAAGTGTAGAGCTGTTGTCAGGAGAGCTAATGACCATGGGCAGTGTTTTCAAGGTGGTGAGAGTCCTAACTTCCGACATTCTAACAACCATTTTGCCTTGCTGCTTGGTAGATGCCCCACCTCTGCTGTGCATTTTTCTGTTGTGTTTGTTGAGTTAAAATATTTGGAGTTCATTTCTTGGAGAGGCTTGAAACAAGAAGGTGATGTTACCCAGCACTGAAGCACTCAACTTCCCGAAGGTCATAGCCACTGCTTTAAAAGAGCTTCCCGTTGGCTGCTGAGGAGCTAGGGTAGTCCTAGCATCAGTGCCATATCATTGCTATCCCTCCATTCCTCTGGGGGAGTTAAAGAATTGTTTGAATGTTATATGAAGAGAGGGTGGGTTGCAAATGAGGCACTGGCTTGTCATCACGAGCCGTCTCTTGCTCTGAGCTAGCCAAAAAGAACAAGTAGCCCAGGGCCAGTTGAGTAGTCTCACTGTTGGAAAAATGGTGGCAGTTCTACTTTATTTTTGGCAACCATTGTGTACTTCAAGTAAGAGAGGATTGTCGGGTATGGTGGTACACATCTATATTCCGAGATTTGGGAAGCTGAAGCAGGAGGATCAATGCCAGTTTGAGGCCAGCCTGAACTGCATAGAAGACTTTGTCTCAAAAAAATTGAAAAAAAGGCTTGTAATGGCTACTCCAGGATTCAAATCTGAGTGATTTTCCTAGCATCTAGCAAAAATAAGCAAGGCAATTTATCATCCCTGTGAAAATGTAGAATGAGGCTTCTAACTAGCTAATTCTGTATTTTGCTAGGATCAGTGTTTTCTGAATGTTTACAAAAGATCAGACTGCATGTTCAGGTTGCAGCTAGAGGGAGCTTGGGCAGAGTTTCAATTATGCTTTCAAGATATAACCAAAGGCTGTTTCTAAATCCTAAAATTGGATTTCAACAGAGCCCCTTTTTAAACAGTCATGTAATGTTTATTGTGGGCTAACAGAGGGGCTGTGTACTTTCTCTGGAACCAGAAACATCAAGTAATTCTAACATGGAGCAATTGAGCAAAATTGAAGCAAGACCCCTGTTGGAAATGGGTACGTAGAACAGGTAGCTGGGTAGGTTACCGTTAAATGATGGGTTTTGTTTTCTTCATAATTAATCAAAGGTTTTTAAATATCAGTGGGTTTTTTTTAAGCCCATTATTGAGGCCCGTCCCCTTTGCCCTAAATGTCTTACGTGTTACTTATTAACACATCAGTTGTATAGCTGATCCCCATCCAGTTTTGTGGGATGTGAAATGCAGCATTTCTCAGAAAACCTCACCTGTATCTTTGAAAGATGAATGTACTTAGACATTCTTAATTTTTATTAGGGTAGGCTAATGCTCCGTGGACTCAAATATACAGAGATCTTAAGCAAGAGTAGAAGTGTAAAGTATAACCTAATTCTCTTTCCTATAGAGATTCTATTTTATTTAAAATCTATTTTTACACTAGTTAGAATCCTACTGTTTTGGCCAAGTACTTTTCTTGCATGTCTGACCTTGCAGAAGCCGGGGTGGATCGTAGCATACTAATTAAGAGAATTAGAAGTAGTTTACAAGCTCTCTCCTCTGTCTCATTATGATTGCCTCCATCGAGAGGCCCTGCCACCAGCTGGAAAGCCGTCTTTCAGCACAGGTGGAATAAACGCCCAGGAAGGCTGTGCCCAGAGGGGTGAGCAAATAGGCAAATATTTCTGAACTACTTGAAGGTTTAAAAGAAACTTTCCAGGAAAAAAAAAAAAATCAAGAAAATGTTATTTCGGAAGAAGGTCAAAAAGTTATGTTTGAATTTAAAATTAAATGAGAAGCCGTTAATGTTTTCTTCAGGATCGAAATGAGCCATTTAATTTACCCCTATCTTGAGTAATAAAATTCGATTAAAATAACTAAACTTTAAATTACTCTGCAAAGTGTGAAATTTTGTGTTCTATGATACTTGTTTGGGAGCATGTACCCAACGATCTAACTGCCAGTGGCCTGGATTTAGCAGCATGAAAATCAACTCAACACTATAGAAAGCCACTAAATTTTCTATCTTTTCAGCCCTTTCATCCAGCTCTCCAAACTACTGAAAAGTCCTTGAACATATATGCCAGGCACCATGGCATGGGCCTATAATCCCAGCTCCTCTGGAGGGTGTGGGAGGAGGATCCCTTTGACCCAGAAGTTTGAGAACCCATCTCAAAAAAAAAAAAAAGGAAAACCATATATATGAATGAGAAAATAAGGGCCAGCCAAATAGCTCAGTGCCTAAAGCACTGCTTAGGCAGAACAGGGCCTGCCGTGCTGGCCTTGCCCCCAGGGCGTGACGAGACAGCCATTGAGACTGGGCATGGTGGCACGCACCTGTAATCCCAGCACTTGGGAGGCTGTAAACAAGAAGATCACTACAAGTCTGATCTACACAGTGAGACCCCGTAGACCCTGTCCTAAATAAAAAATTTTTTAAAATGAGAAAATAACTGAATTTGGATGTTCAGGGTAGGGGAAGACCCAGACACACCTTTTTTTCTTTGCAATATTAGGTTTCATTATGCAGTTCAGGCTGGCCCAGAACTCACTTCATAGCCCAGGCTGGCCTCAAAGTCACAGTGATCCTCTTAGCCTTCCAAGTGCTAGGATTACAGCTGTGTACCACCACGCTTGAAAAGCAGTTTTGTACACCTGTGACTTTTTCCATTTTCTCTACCACCACCACCAAGCTGAAGCCATTTTTTATTTTGGAAACAAATGTGACCTGTTAGGATACATTGAGTAATGTTAAGTCACCTGACGCACTTTCCCATCCCTATAGCAAAAATGCCCTCATCCAGAGGCTGAGAAGCTCATGCATACCGCAGCTACTGGGGGTGAGCACTCCCACCCTGTGTCATCATTTGGAAAATCCTCTCGTGGTACAAGGTCTGTTCATAAGATTTGGTGGCCACACATGATGCCAGTGCTTGGCCTGATAGCACATTTTGGATCTAAGCTTATGTTTTAAAAAATAATTCCTGGGCCGGGGAAATAGCTCAGTGGTATAAGCACTTGCCTGGCAAGCAAAAGGACCTGAGTTCAATCCCTGGCTCCGCAAAAAAAAAAAAAAAAAAAAATTCCTTGGGTGGGGGGCAGAAGTGAATTGCCCAGTCTGGCCTCCAGTTTGGGATTCACCTGCCTCAACCTTCTGAGTAGCTGGGTTTAGATGCATGTACTACCAGACTCAGCTGCAAAAGTCACCTGTAACATCTGGAGGAAACTTGCTTTCTCTGAGGCAAAGCTGTGTTGGCAGGAGGGATTCATCAGAGTCAGAAGCAGCAGCCCCTGCTTCCTTGATGGGATTGTGTTGTAGTTTGGGATTTTGCAAGAACAATACAAGACACACAAGATTATTTTATAATGAATCACCCAAAGAATCATATAAAAGGAGTGCGGGAAATCTGCCCATACACTTAAAGACCAAAGAATCCAACTGAGGGCCTGGATCCTGATAGCCTGCATGAGTCCAGCTGAGGACCCAGAGCCCATAACAGTGCCTCCCACAGTCCAATTGGAGGCCTAGAGCCTACGAGAGCATCTCGTGCAGGCCTCCTTCACAGATCTGCACTGGGAAGGCCCAGAGGTCAGTGGGGGAAGCTAGAAAATCTGTACAAGTGCGATGAGGGATCTGAGCTGGAGCCAGAAAGAACACTCGAGGTAAGAACCCGAACTCCCGCGTGAAGTACCACAGCCATCCTCAGCGATAGGGAGCGCCTGAGCTCCTCCAAGAATGAAAACAGCTGAGCTCCCATCAGGAAAGCCAACTCAACAAGCTTCTTCAGGAGACTGAGCAGTGCACCATCTTCCCCTCCGGAGCTCAAAGTGACCACAAGAGCTCTTCCAAAGTGAACTGTAGCCCTTCTCAGCGACAGTGAGGTCCCGAGCTGCTCCAATGAGACCAGGCAAGTTCATCGGGAAAGGCAGCATGACAAGGTCCTCCAGCAGAATAGCCCAAGCGAACCTTACGAAGCTTGGGGCACCACCACCGGGTAGGTACTTTGCAGCAGGCCTCTGCTGCTGGCCAGCCCCTCTCTGTTGTTCTGTGCTTGACAGGGACCCAAAGGCCTTGCATCTGCTGGGCAAGCATGCTCCCACTGATTTCATCCCTATCCCCTTTCATAAAAATTGCTATGAAAATTCTTAAATTGGGAGTTCTAGAATCCTTGCATAGTGGCTACACCAACAGATGCAGCTTTGCAAGTTAAAATTTTTAAGGGACAGTGAAGCAGTTAAGTAACAAGGGACAAGTGTCTCCTTCCACTCTCCAATATGGACTTGAGTTCTCCCCAGAAACATTCTGTGTTGTTCTTGGAGGAAACCAAAAATATTGTTTGCTCTTGATGTTAGGAGAAATTATATAAGGCCTCTCTCTCTCTCTCTCTCTCTCTCTCTCTCTCTCTCTCTCTCTAATTGGGAGAGTGCAGTGGTGGCCTCTTTATCCTGACATCACAGTCAACTCCTTTGCACTATCTTCTCATTTTTTTTAATGAAAACCCTTCTTTATCTTGACTTCCTGAAACACGTGCTATCCCTGGGAGGCTCACAAATACTTCGGAGCACGGGGACTAATGTTGAAAGCTGTACTTTCAGGAACCAAGAGTCTCAGATGCACTGTAGCTAGGTGTGCTCTTCAGGGGTATGGACCGGTCTCCCTGTAATCCTGGAAGCACAGGAGAGCATGAAAGCTGCAGTCCGTTCTTAATCTGGGTTTTGCATTCTTGCCCCATTAAAGGAAGAGATGAACAATCTATTTTCTCCAGGATGACTGCAGACCTTCAGGACCTAATGTTGAATTGCTTTGAATCAACACATCTTACTGGAATCATCTAGAAAATATGGATTTGGTACTTGGCACAGAACTGCGCTGATGCAGATAACATTTGCTACTCCAAGGCTAATTACCAGGCTCACTAAGTGAACTAAAGCAGCTTTGTTTCTTTTCAGACCTTGCTCTAAATCCCCCTTCAGATCTTACCCTAGATTGCCTCAACATTAATGCAGGGAGGTTAGCCCCGGAGGGGAAATGAAAGAGTGAACCCACCTTGGAGTTCTGCAGCGTGAAGGCTTGTAAGGCCCAGCAGGATAGATGGCCCCTGTACAAAGCAAATGATGTTTTTCACATGGTAGAATTCT